CCTATCCCTCAGTTCACTCAACATACACCCGGTGACCATAGCAACTTTCCATCAACTAGTAAAGGGATACTCAGTTTTCTCCCACCCAGTTACAAAAAGATTCCTTAAGGGCATAGTGAACCTCTCTCCCCAACCCAGACATCCCATTCCAACATGGGACCTATATCTGGTTTTAAAGAGCCTCACTAGTTTTCTCTTTTACCTATGGCCATTTGCTCGCTCACATATCTGTCAATGAAGACAGCATTTCTGGTAGCCTTCACTTTGGCAAGGAGAATAGGAGAAATAGTGGCGCTAATAAAGCACCCCCCTTTTACAATATTCTTTAAATCAAGGTTACTCTTTGGCCCCACCCAAAGTTCATCCCCAAGGTGACCTCATCTTTTCACATAAACCAGTTGATTCACCTCTCAAACTCTTACCCTAAGCCTCACCGTGATAACAGGGAGGCCATACTGCACACACTAGACATTAGGAGAGCCCTGGCCTTTTACCTGGATAGGACGAAGGCCTTTAGGAAATCTCCTAAGCTTTTCCTTTCCATTACGGAAAGGTCTAAAGGCTCAGTGATATCAGCCCAGAGGCACTCCAAATGGGTCTTGAACTGTATTAAGCACTGCTATCATGTTTGCATTGTGGTACCTCCATCTGTAATCTGCACGTAGTCCACGAAGTTGGTTTCTTCCTCTGTCACCTTCCTCAAGAATGTCCCTATCTCGGAAATCTGCAGAGCTGAGATTTGGGCGTCTGTTCATACGTTCGCAGAACACTATGCAATTACTGGAGACTCTGCTTCATTTTCAGCTCCACAGTACTGTCATCCATAACAGACTTGATGCCGAAGCACCACCCTTCCATTGAGGATACTGCTCGGGAGTCACCTACAGTGGAGCACCCATAGGGACACTACTCGAAGAAGAAGAGAAAGTTACTCACCTTTTGCAGTAACGATGATTCTTCGAGATGTGTGTATCTATGGGTGCTCTGCAACCCGCTCTCCTCCCCTCTACTTCAGAGTTCTTGATAGGGACTCCGCGGTAGAGAAGGAACAGAGGGTGGTTTGCCCATGCAGCGCTAATTAGCCTTGAGACAGAGGACGGGGCAGGGTGTGGAGGGAAGAGTGCATGTGCTGGCTGAACGGACACTGCTACCAAAGATCTCCAAGCAGAAATGCAGGGAGGAATGGAGCATCCACAGGGACAGACGTCTCCAAGAACCATTGTTACTGCACAAGGTGAGTAACTTTCTCTTCTTGAAGTGATTTGCATTGTTTATTGGACTGTTAAAACATGTTTAAAGAGCATCAAAGAACGAGAGACTTCGTATAAATTAAATGAACTTCAAACTGGACATTTCAACAGCTAACAGAATGTTGCTGGAGAAACTGCAATTTGAGCAAGCATAATTGCGAAGTTGGCCAAGGGATGCACCACAAAGAGGCCCTGAAAAGTGACTTGTGGCTCACCAGAGCAAACTATCCGATGTTCAAGTAATGTCCCAAGATGGTTGTACCAACAGCTATGCCCTAACCTGCCTTACACAGACTAGTGTGACAAGATGTGTGTCAAGATGTGTGGCAGAAAGAAACTAGAAGGTTCCAGCCCCACTTGCAAGAACTAAAAAGGTGATGCTTCATTTCCTGATTGCATGGTGAGAGGAGGCCAGCTCTCATTGCGGTAGGACCTTTCGAATTTTTGGCAGAGTATGGGTTGCCATCTGATTTGGTCCATGCCAGCACTTCCAAAAAGAGATAACAAGTTATCCCAACAGAGATGGGATAAAATGGTCTTTTTCTGTTAGCACGTTGTTTCTGAAAAGCTGAACACAACTGGAAGGGAGAAGACTGAGGTGCTGGGCTGACCACCTGGGAGTCCTGCTGTTGATATCAAGTTCATATCTCAGGCACATTTAACTGTCTCTTTCTATTTTCAGTAATTCAGGTTGCCTGTTAGTACACTGAGAAAAAACTATAATTCATAGAATCAAAGAATATCAGGGTTGGACGGGACCTCTGGAGGTCATCTAGTCCAACCCCCTGCTCAAAGCAGGACCAATCCCCAGTTAAATCATCCCAGCCAGGGCTTTGTCAAGCCTGACCTTAAAAACCTCTAAGGAAGGAGATTCTACCACCTCCCTAGGTAACGCATTCCAGTGTTTCACCACCCTCCTAGTGAAAAAGTTTTTCCTAGTATCCAACCTAAACCTCCCCCACTGCAACTTGAGACCATTACTCCTTGTCCCGTCATCTTCTACCACTGAGAATACTCTAGAACCATCCTCTTTGGAACCACCTCTCAGGTAGTTGAAAGCAGCTATCAAATCCCCCCTCATTCTTCTCTTCTGCAGACTAAACAATCCCAGTTCCCTCAGCCTCTCCTCATAACTCATGTGTTCCAGATCCCTAATCATTTTTGTTGCCCTTCGCTGGACTCTCTCCATTTTTTCCACATCCTTCTTGTAGTGTGTGGCCCAAAACTGGACACAGTACTCCAGATGAGGCCTCACCAACGTCGACTAGAGGGGAATGATCACGTCCCTCGATCTGCTGGCTATGCCCCTACTTATACATCCCAAAATGCCATTGGCCTTCTTGGCAACAGGGGCACACTGTTGACTCATATCAATTGTCTCCATCCTTCACGCCACCTGTATTTGCAGTGTAAACTCTGCTATGAACAATAACTAAAATGAAAGCTGATGACTCAGCAAAGATCTGGTGATAAGTAACACAGTGTGATAACCCAAATCAGTCAAATGACCATTTTCTGAAACTGGTAACTAATTAGTAAGGAAGTGTACCTGCTTGTGTCTGTACTTTAAAGATGGTCAGAGTTAGTGTGTCTCCTTGTTTTGTAACAGGTTCAAATCAAAGTTGTAAAGTGATCTGAAACTCAACAAGTTACTGTTGTTAACTAAGATTGTTGAACACTGTGTATATTTACCATAGTTAATCGCTTCATAGTGCCTTTCAAATTTTAGGTGCACACAGTCATAAAACAGACTAAGCGTACAAGCTTCTTGAACTGCACTCATAAGAACATAAGAATGGCCATACTGGGTCAGACCAAAGGTCCACCTAGCCCAGTATCCTGTCTTCTGACAATGGCCAATGCCAGGTGCCCCAGAGGGAATGAACAGAACAGATAATCATCAAGTGATCCATTCCCTATTGCTCATTCCCAGCTTCTGGCAAACGGAGGCGAAGGACACCATTCCTGCCCATCCAGGCTAATAGCCATTGATGGACCTATCCTCCATGAATTAATGTAATTCTTTTTTGAACCCTGTTATGGTCTTGGCCTTCACAACATCCTCTGACAAGGAGTTCCACAGGTTGACTGTACATTGTGTGAAGAAATACTTCCTTTTATTTGTTTTAAACCTGCTGCCTATTAATTCCATTTGGTGACCCCTAGTTCTTGTGTTATGAGAAGTAGTAAACAACACTTCCTTATCTACTTTCTCTACACCAGTCATGATTTTATAGACCTCTATCATATCTCCTTTTAGCCTTTTTTTTTCCAAGCTGAAAAGTCCCAGTCTTATTAATCTCTCCTCATACGGAAGCTGTTCCATATCCCTAATATTTTTTTTTGCCCTTTTCTCAATCTTTTTCAATTCCAATATATCTTTTTTTGAGATGAGGGAACCACATCTGCACACAGTATTCAAGATGTGGGCATACCATGGATTTATTTAGAGGCAACATTATATTTTCTGTCCTATTATCTATCCCTTTCTTAATGATTCCCAGCATTCTGTTCTTTTTTTTGACGGCTGTTGTACATTGAATGGGTGTTTTCAGAAAACTATCCACAATGTCTCCAAGATCTCTTTCTTGAGTGGTAACAGTTCATTTAGACCCCATCATATATGTATAGTTGGGATTATGCTTTCCAATATACATTACTTAGCATTTATCAACATTAAATTTCACCTGCCACTTTGTTGCCCAGTCACCCAGTTTTGAGAGATCCTTTTGTAGCTCTTCGCAGTCTGCCTGGGTTTTAACTATCTTTAGTAATTTTTTGTCATCTGCAAATTTTGCCACCTCACTGTTTACCCCTTTTTCCAGATCATTTATGAATATGTTGAATAGGACTTGTCCCAGAACAGACTCCTGGGGGACACCACTGTTTACCTCTCCATTCTGAAAACTGACCATTTATACCTACCCTTTGTTTCCTATCTTTTAATCAGTTACCAATCCATCAGAGCCCCTTCCCTCTTATCCCATGGCAGCTTACTTTGCATAAAAGCCTTTGGTGAGAGACCTTGTAAAATGACTTTCTAAAAATCTAAGTACACTATATCTACTAGATCCCCACTCAGTCTGTATAGTCTGTCATAAATGTAGAAGTTCATGTTAAAGGAGTGTGGGGAAGTAGGTTAAAAGGATTGACTACTATAGATCCACTGGGAAGGAGACCTGGGTGAACTGGCATGTATTTAATTAACCAAATTGTCTTGCACTTTAACTTTGTATGGGGGGGGGAGTTTTCGTTTTACATTTTGCTTTTGTTTTTTCTTTCTCCTCTGTTTGGAGGGACTCATAATCAAAAATCTAAATAAAGTCACCTTTCCTATATAGTGATTGAATATAGGTGTTGTTTTCTGTAGTGGTTGTGTGATTTGATTCTGAAAATCTGAATGATTATATTGACCAGTTTTCTAGTTTGTTAGCCAAATCCTAGTCCACTACTGTTTTTGTTGTCGTATATCCTGTTCTATCAGTTATTCAGGATATTTAATTGCACTTTATAAAACTAAATTAATCTCTCAAGTCCTTTTGTTTAGTTAAGCCATTGAAATTAAAGAAAGGTTGTGTGGGTAATGAGTTCAGCAGTTGTTTGTCTAATACCATGTCTTTCTTACAAGACTTGTATCTTTCCTGCTCCTAACCTGCATTTTCTTTAGAGAATTGAGACAGTTTATAGATGTTTAATATAATAAAGGTGGGGCTTTTTGCGTTAAATTCAGATGTATACATTTCTTTATAGGTCAGTTTCTGGGTTGTACAAGAAATTTTAACAGCACAGACGTTAAAAATAAGGGCAGAAATATTGAGCCATTTTGTGAAAATAGCTAAGGTAAGTGTGCATTATTATTATTATTATTATTCAAAATATTCTTTTTTTTGTCTGTTTCTCCACTCATATCAACTGTCTCTTTAGACCACTGAAGAATAAAATTCTTGATAGCACAGCTCCTGCTATCCCACTAAGTACTTGGTCATTGTGATACACAATGTGACCACCACAGACTGATCTGCTTGTACATAGCTAGGTACAATGGGCAGTGAGCTTTTTTAACTGGCTTCTGCTACAAATATTCTAGTTTAGCGTGTTTACAAGTTTAAAGGTGATTCATCTTGCTGCTATTATGCTGTTGAGCTGCGTTGGAGCCATGGCCAACATAATTACCAAAACAAATTTTTGTTGCTAGCATTAGAGCTGGTTGGAAAAAAATCATTTCCTCACTGAAAATTTTGACCAAAAAATTGTTTTCATCAACATTTTCCACAGAAAATTTAGAATTGATGGCAAAACATTGAAAACCAAAATATTGTGGCTAAAAACTGGAATATTTCTATTTTGACACGCTGTCATAGAGCCTAATGAAGGTGGAATTCTGAGGCCTGATCCTCCCATTCTCTGCTATAGGTAGGTCTCACAGTTAGACGACAGTTTTTGTGATGCACCACAGTGTCATCTTTCGGGACTTGTCTACATGCAGATTACTGCACAATAATCCAGATGTGAATTTGCACCAGTTTGCTGCTCAGTAATGTGCTGCATGGATACTGCTACTGTGCATTGAAAGTTCTGGAGTGCAGTTTGTCTTAATACACTTTCAAGTAGTCTAGTAGTAAGCTAAGCCATGCTCCACGAGTTTCAGGACACTTTAGCTGTGTCCATCTGGACTCAACTGCGTGGCAAGCAGATGTGCTCTAGATTCATACTCTGGCTTTCTGTGCCGTAACTTCCCATGTAGACAAAGCCCTTGGTGAGGGGAGCTGTGCATCATGGGAAGATGTAGTCCTAATAGGGATTCAGGTCACAGAGGACAATTGGAGCATTAGGCATGTGATGGGGTGAGCTCCCCACACTAGGCCTGCAAGAGCTGGGCTGGGTCAGGTGGGTCCAGTCAGCTAATTAGGCTGCTTTAGGCTGAAGGCAGCTGGTTGGAAAGAGGCTCACTTGTGCAGGAACATGCAGGGCCTATAAAGCCAGGTAGCAGGCTACAGACTGGGCTGCTGAGAAAGGGCAGTCCATCCCTGGGAAAAGGGAGGAGTGTTTGGGGGCAGCTGGGAAAAGCTGCAGGAAGGTAGGCAGCAGTCTTTCCTTGGGAAGTGGGAGGAGGGTTCTTGGAGTTGGTACACCCAAGAAAGAAGGGGAACCAGGTGTTGTAGGAAGTAGTCCAAGGGAGGAGCAGTGAGGGCAGAAAGAGGAAACCCAGAATTGCTGAGCTGAGGGTCTCTGGACTGGAACCTGGACAAGAGGGCAGGCCTGTGTTCCCCTACCAGCCACGGAGGGCGTAGTACTGGTGCAGACTGCCTAGGACTGAACCTCATAAGTAGGAACACGGAGTGACCTAGCTGGAGGGCTAAGTCAGGAAGAGGATGCTGTGAGTCCTGGAGCAAGTGGAGCTGCAGACTAGAGTCAGAGTGACAGCATGCAAGCCGCGGACAAGGGTGTCGGCCGTGAGAGCTAATCCCCAGAGTGAGTAGGAGGAGGCACCAGCACAGCGGTGAGTGGAGCACCCTATGACGAGGCATATGAGTTACAACTTCCCTGAGGCACCCTGGCAGCATTTCAGAAATGAAGCATTTTGGTTTTTGTTTCTTTCCTCGCCAGTGCAGCTGGAGGAGCCAGTTCTACTATCTTGTGCTAGAGTTTGTGCCCCTTGGTTTTCTGTGTCCTTCTCTGTTGGCACCCCCCGCCCCTGCTTCCAGCCTACCAGGGAGGAGCAGCGGCCTCCTTTCCCATCCCTCTCTCCCCTTTTGTTTCCCTCCCTGCATTTTTGTAATTCTGTGATGATGGTCTGGCTGCTGTAATATCATTTTAGTGCACTACCCATATATATAAGGAGTTGTATATAAAATAATTATTTCTCTTACCTGACCTGAGAAACAAATGGATATTACTTAGTTTTTTAACACCTTAAGTACTGTTATCCACAGCTAATACTGGAAGTAAGAATGAGTGTACAGCCTCTTAAAATCTTTTTACAAATGAGTTATGTGAAAGTATTTCCCATTTTTCTTTGCTGCAGGCATTGTGTTGTAGGAAACCTTTTTTTATATAACACAGTGTTGCTTCTGCTCCTTCATGCAGCACATAGTCAAACCATGGAACACGTTGCCAGGGGATGTTGTGAAGGCCAAAAGTATAACTGGGTTCAAACAGAATTAGATAAGTTCGTGGAGGACAGGTCCATCAATGGCTATTAGACAAGATGGTCAAGGATGCAATCCCATGTTCTGGGTGTCCCTAAACCTCTGACTGCCAGAAGCCGGGACTGGATGATAGGGGATGGATAACTTGATAATTGCCCTGTTCTGTTTATACCCTCTGAAGCTTCCAGCACTGGCCACTGTCAGAAGATAGGATACTGGGTTAGATGGACCATTGATCTGACCCATATGGCCAGTTTTATGTTCAGATGTTCTCAGTTGTTTTGGTGATTTTTACAGCAAGAAGTCTGCTGAAGAGAACTGTGACCACAGGCTGGGTTTTTAAACATGTTGGGAGGGGGGGAAGCATTGTCTTTTTAAAAAAAAGATTACTACATTATTTTAACAAAAAGTCACTTTATTAATTCTAGACTACTTCATTCAACATCTTCGGTAACCATTGGAGGCCAAAGTTGAATCTTTTGGCCCAATTAAACATATATGTTTCCAGAACTATAGTATCATATGGTTAGAACTTGTTTTCAACAATAACACCAGAGTTACACTTAAAAAATATTTAATTTTTTCCACTTCCAAAGAGAGAACCTTGCAAAACCCAAATTAGTTTCGTGAACATAGGAGGTACATCTAAGTGAGCTTTCACTTTGCAATGAGTTCAGGGCAAGCCTGGAATATCTGCAACATTTTTAAAGTGTAAAATGTCACCCAGATTAATAGAATTTCCCAAATTAGACACCATTTAGTACCCCTTGCTTTTGTTTTGAAGAATTGCACCTCTAGTTTGATTGTATTCAGTGTGATGGCTCTAAACAGCCATGAGAAAAGGTTAATTAATTTTTCCTTTGGTGTTGTTGCAGAAACTTCTAGACCTGAACAACCTTCATTCCATCATGGCTGTGGTATCAGCATTGCAAAGCGCACCTATTTTCAGGCTGACGAAAACCTGGGCTGTAAGTTAACTTGTCTTTATTTCAAATCTTCTCCCTTTTGTTATGGTGTATAATAATCCTGTGCTTTGTTGTCTAAACATCACTCGATTGCTGAGTTAGAGCTGAAGGAAGGAAGGAAATTTACCTTTAGAAGTGATTTTGTGTGTGCACAGAGGTGACAGTAACCCGGCATGCCCCGGTGCGGGGTACTGGCAAGAGCTGGTGCGCCATCCGGGGTGGACTGGCTTCCCCAGGTGCAATTTAAAGGGCCTGCAGCTCCCAGCAGCAGCTGGAGCCCCCGGCCCTTTAAATTGCTGCCGGAGCCCTGGGGTAGCGGCGGCGGGGCTGGGGCGGCGATTTAAAGGGCCTGAGGCGGTAGCGACGGCCAAGCCCTGGGCCCTTTAAATCGTCCCTGGAGCCCCGCCGCTGCTTCCCCAGGGCTCCGGCAGGTTCCGGGGACAATTTAAAGGGCCCGGCGCGGTAGTGGCAGCCGGAGCCCCATCCCCGGAGCCCTGCTGCTGGAGCCCTGGGGAAGTGGCGGTGGGGCTCCAGGGACAATTTAAAGGGCCCAGGGCTCTGGCAGCTGCTACCATCCAGGGCCCTTTAAACTGCTGCCAGAGCGCCCGGCTGCCACTGTTACCCCGGGGGCAGGGAGGGAGGCACTTGCTGGTACAGGATGGCCCGGGGCTGGCTCTGACCTCCCCCAGCCCCGCCCTTTCTGCCTGCGGTCCTGCCCCTTCTGGGGGCCAGAGCCGGCCCCAGCCCAGCCCCATACCGGTAAGTCCCTATACTTACTTTCACCCCTGTGTATGTGTGAACGAGAAATCTATAGTTTTATGGCAGTTAGTACAAACCATTGCGTTACACGTTTAACTAAAGCATAAGCTTAACTTGTTTGCGTTACTGTTATTTCCTTTCCCTGATTCGTTTGTCTCATTCATATGTTGTGCCATGTAATAACCTAGACTGTGAGCTCTTTGAGGCAATGACTTGTTTTTTGACTATATGCCTGTACAACATCTAGCATATTAGGGTCCTTACTTCTGGTTGGGGTCTCTACATATTATTGCAGTACAAATAATAATTAATAATAAAAAGCTTTCTTAGGTAAGTAGTTCTATCAAGATATCAAGCAGGACTTTGTTCTTTTAAAAAGTCTTTCGAGCAATTTTTGTCAAAGTCCAGGTTAACAGACCAAAACATTTCCGTACTTTAGGCAAGTCAAGCTTTCCCTTCAGTTCATTGTTTGTGTGTGTGTATATAGACAACATATACTATAATCCAAACTGTTTCCGGTGCTGAAAATCTTTATGAAAAGACACCTCCCCTCTTGTTCCATCTTACACACACATGACTTACTGTGATGTTTTGGGGATCACCCAGACCAGTAAGGGGTTCTGTCACCACCTGCCCTGTAACTTTGGGTGCCGAAGTGGTATGCAGCTATGGCTTAGAGCTCTAACAATGGTAGCCAGTCCACAAACATAAAGGTCTGACCCTGGCTTCCACCAGCCTACTTACGCCTTGCAGGCTTGACGCCAGAGCCCTTCCAATCTTGAGTCTTCCCAAATCTGTCCAAACCAAGTTCTCAACTACCAGACACTCAGACTTTTCCCCTCTTGGTTAATCACCCTCGAAGACATGAAACCTGCCTCCACTTACCAGTTCACTTTGGCACATACACTCCACACAGTTTTCACAACAGAGACTGCTTAGGGTAAAAGTAAACAAACTGTTTATTTACAAAAACACAAAAAAATCACAGATTCAAAGATGGAGTAGCAAGGGAAAGTGAACACATACAAGTTACAAAGGAAAAAAACATGAAGATGCAATATCAGGCTTTACAGTTCTAAGTTAGATACATTCCCTTTTCTAATACAAGTTACCTATTGCCTTTGAACAGTTTTCCAGTATACCCTCCGGCATAAAGTAGATCAAGCAATCACAGCCAGTCCCCCACTTTTGAGACTTTCCCTCAGTTCTGGATAAAAACTGGCTCCTCAGCCAGTTCTTTTAAAACTGTTGGATGCAAGTTATTGGGACTTGCTGATCTGAAAATGTTTAAATGTAGTAGCTTTTATCCAGAAACGTTAGTGGAATGGAAAGAGTAGTGTCATCACCATCTGATGAGGCTGCATCATCTGTTTTTCCCAAATACAGAACAGAAATATTTATTGAACATTTCTGCCTCTTCTGCATTTTTATTGATAATGCTACCATTTCTATCTATTAATGGACCAATACCATGGAATCGTAGAATCATAGGACTGGAAGGGACCTCAAGAGGTCAGCTAGTCCGGTCTCCTGCACTCATTGCAGGACTAAGTATTATCTAGACCATCCCTGACAGGTGTTTGTCTAACCTGTTTTTAAAAATCTCCAATGATGGAGATTCCACAACCTCCCTAGGCAGTTTATTCCAGTACTTAACCACACTGACAGTTAGGAAGTTTTTTCTAATGTCCATCCTAAATCTCCCTTGCTGCAATTTAAGCCCATTGCTTCTTGTCCTGTCCACAGAGGTTAAGAAGAACAATTTTTCTCCCTCCTCTTTGTAACAACCTTTTATGTACTTGAAAACTGTTATGTCCCCTCTCAGTCTTCTCTTCTCCAGACTAAACAAACCCAGTTTTTTCAATCTTCCCACATAGGTCATGTTTTCTAGACCTTGAATGATTTTTGTTGCTCTTCTCTGGACTTTCTCCACATCTTTCCTGAAATGTGGCACCCAGAACTGGACAGAATACCCCAGCTGAGGCCTAATCAGCCCAGAGTAGAGTGGAAGAGTTTCTTCTCATGTCTTGCTTACAGCACTCTTGCTAATACATCCCAGAATGATGTTCGCTTTTTTTTTTGCAACAGTGTTACATTGTTGACTCATATTAGGTTGTGGTCCACTGTGACACTCAGATCCGTTTCCGCAGTACTCCTTCCTAGGCCGTCATTTCCCTTTTTGTATGTGTGCAACTGATTGTTCCTTCCTAAGTGGAGTACTTTGCATTTGTCCTTATTGAATTTCATCCTATTTACTTCAGACCATTTCTCCAGTTTGTCCAGATCATTTTGAATTATAATCCTATCCTCCAAATGACTTGCAACCCCTCCCAGCTTGGTATCATCCGCAAACTTTATAAGTGTACTCTCTATGCCATTATCTAAATCATTGATGAAGATGTTGAGGAGAACTGGACCCAGAACTGATCCCTGTGGGACCCCACTCGTTATGCCCTCCCAGCATGACTCTGAGCCACTGATAACTACTCTTTAGGAATGGTTTACAACCAGTTATGCACCCATCTTATAGTAGCTCCATGTAGGTTGCATTTCCCTAGTTTGTTTATGAGAAGGTCATGCGAGACAGTATCAAAAGCTTTACTAAAGTCAAGATATACCACGTCTACCACTTCCTCTCTATCCACAAGGCTTGTTACCCTGTCAAAGAAAGCTATCAGGTTGGTTTGACACAATTTGTTCTTGACAAATCCATGCTGACTGTTACTTATCACCTTACTATCTTCTAGATGTTTGCCAATTGATTGCTTTATTATTTGCTCCATTCTCTTTCTGGGTACAGAAGTTAAACTGACTGGTCTGTAATTCCCCAGGTTGTCCTTATTTCCCTTTTTATAGATTGGCACTATATTTGCCCTTTTCTGGTTTTCTGGAATCTCTCCCATGACTTTTCAAAGATAATCGGCTAATGGCTCAGATATCTCCTCAGTCAGCTCTTTGAGTATTCTAGAATGCATTTCATCAGGCCCTGGTGACTTGAAGACATCTAATTTGTCTAAGAACTTTTTAACTTTTTCTTTCCCTATTTTAGCCTCTTTTGGTCCTACCTCATATTCACTGACATTAACTATGTTACATGTCCAATCACCACCAACCTTCTTGGTGAAAACTGAAACAAAAGTCATTAACCACATTTCCGCATTTTCTGTTATTATTTTCCCCCCCCCCCCCCCCATTGAGCAATGGGCCTCCCTTATCCTTGGTCTTCCTCTTGCTTCTAATGTATTTGTAGAATGTTTTCTTGTTACCCTTTATGTCTCCAGCTAGTTTGATCTCGCTTTGTGCCTTGGCCTTTCTAATTTTGTCCCTGCATACTTGTGTTATTTGTTTATATTCATCCTTTGTAATTTGATCTAGTTTCCACTTGTTGTAGGACTCTTTTTTGGAGTTTCAGATCATTGAAGATCTCCTGGTTAAGCCATACTAGTCTCTTGTCATATTTCCTATCTTTCCTACACAGTGTGATAGTTTGCTCTTGTGCCCTTTAATAATGTCTCTTTGAAAAACTGCCAACTGTCTTCATTTGTTTTTCCCCTTAGACTTACTTCCCATGGGATCTTACCTAGCAACTCCTTGAATTTGCTAAAGTCTGCCTTGAAATCCATTGTTTTTATTTTGCTGTTCTCCCTCCTACCATTCTTTAAAATCATGAACTCTACCATTTCATGATCACTTTCATGCAAGCTGCCTTCCACTTTCAAAATCTCAACCAGTTCCTCCCATTTGTCAAAATCAAATCTAGAACAGCTTCTCCCCTAGTAGCTTTCTTCACCTTCTGAAATAAAAAATGGTCTCCAGTACATTCCAAGAACTTGTTGGATAATCGGTGCCCTGCTATGTTATTTTCCCAATAGATGTCTGAGTAGTTGAAGTCCCCCATCACCACCAAGTCCTGGGCTTTGGATGATTTTGTTAGTTGTTATAAAAAAGCCTCATCCACCTCTTCTTTCTGGTTAGGTGGTTTGTAGTAAACCCCTACCATGACATCACCCTTGTTTTTTACCCCTTTTATCCTTATCCAGAGTCTTTCAGCTAGTCTGTCTACTATTCCCATCTCAACCTCAGTCCAAGTGTATATATTTTTAATATATAAGGCAATGCCTCCTCCCTTTTTCCCCTGCCTGTCCTTCCTGAGCAAGTTGTACCCTTTTATACCAATATTCCAGTCATGTGTATTATTCCACCAATCTGTGATGCCAACTATATCATAGTTCTGTTTATTTACT